TGTACTGTGCTTGCATGGGGTACTTGTTACACTTAAATGATTAGCAAGCTGGATGCTGTACTGTGCTTGCATGGGGTACTTGTTACACTTAAATGATTAGCAAGCTGGATGCTGTACTGTGCTTGCATGGGGGTACTTGTTACACACAAATGATTAGCAAGCCGGACGCTGTACTGTGCTTGCATGGGGTACTTGTTACACTTAAATAATTAGCAAGCTGGATGCTGTACTGGGATTACATGAGGTACTTGTTACACTTAAATGATTAGCAAGCTGGACGCTGTACTGAGCTTGCATGGGGTACTTGTTACACTTAAATGATTAGCAAGCTGGATGCTGTACTGTGCTTGCATGGGGGTACTTGTTACACTGAAATGATTAGCAAGCTGGATGCTGTACTGTGCTTGCATGGAGTACTTGTTACACTTAAATAATTAGCAAGCTGGATGCTGTACTGGGATTACATGAGGTACTTGTTACACTTAAATGATTAGCAAGCTGGACGCTGTACTGAGCTTGCATGGTGTACTTGTTACACTTAAATGATTAGCAAGCTGGATGCTGTACTGGGATTACATGGGATACTTGTTACACTTAAATGATTAGCAAGCTGGACGCTGTACTGAGCTTGCATGGGGTACTTGTTACACTTAAATAATTAGCAAGCTGGATGCTGTACTGGGATTACATGGGATACTTGTTACACTTAAATAATTAGCAAGCTGGATGCTGTACTGAGCTTGCATGGGGGTACTTGTTACACTTAAATGATTAGCAAGCTGGACGCCGTACTGAGCTTGCATGGGATACTTGTTACACTTAAATGATTAGCAAGCTGGATGCTGTACTGAGCTTGCATCGGATACTTGTTACACTGAAATGATTAGCAAGCTGGATGCTGTACTGTGCTTGCATGGGGTACTTGTTACACTTAAATGATTAGCAAGCTGGATGCTGTACTGAGTTTGCATGGGGTACTTGTTACACTTAAATGATTAGCAAGCTGGATGCTGTACTGAGCTTGCATGGGATACTTATTACACTTAAATGATTAGCAAGCTGGATGCTGTACTGTGCTTGCATGGGGTACTTGTTACACTTAAATGATTAGCAAGCTGGATGCTGTACTGAGCTTGCATGGGGTACTTGTTACACTTAAATGATTAGCAAGCTGGATGCTGTACTGTGCTTGCATGGGGTACTTGTTACACTTAAATGATTAGCAAGCTGGATGCTGTACTGTGCTTGCATGGGGGTACTTGTTACACTTAAATGATTAGCAAGCCGGACGCTGTACTGTGCTTGCATGGGGTACTTGTTACACTTAAATAATTAGCAAGCTGGATGCTGTACTGGGATTACATGAGGTACTTGTTACATTTAAATTATTAGCATGCTGGACGCTGTACTGAGCTTGCATGGGGTACTTGTTACACTTAAATGATTAGCAAGCTTGATGCTGTACTGAGCTTGCATGGAGTATTGGTACACTTAAATGTTTAGCAAGCTGGATGCTGTACTGAGCTTGCATGGGATCCTTGTTACACTTAAATGATTAGCAAGCTGGATGCTGTACTGGGATTACATGGGATACTTGTTACACTTAAATGATTAGCAAGCTGGATGCTGTACTGAGCTTGCATGGGGTACTTATTACACTTAAATTAGCAAGCTGGATGCTGTACTGAGCTTGCATGGGGTACTTGTTACATTTAAATGATTAGCAAGCTGGATGCTGTACTGAGCTTGCATGGGATACTTATTACACTTGAATGATTAGCAAGCTGGATGCTGTACTGATTTGCATGGGGTACTTGTTACACTTAAATGATTAGCAAGCTGGATGCTGTACTGAGCTTGTATGGGGTACTTGTTACACTTAAATAATTAGCAAGCTGGATGCTGTACTGAGCTTGCATGGGATACTTATTACACTTAAATGATTAGCAAGCTGGATGTTGTACTGTGCTTGCATGGGGTACTTATTACACTTCAATGATTAGCAAGCTGGATGATGTACTGTGCTTGCATGGGGGTACTTGTTACACTTCAATGATTAGCAAGCTGGATGTTGTACTGAGCTTGCATGGGGTACTTGTTACACTTAAATGATTAGCAAGCTGGATGTTGTACTGAGCTTACATGGGGTACTTTTTACACTTAAATGATAAGCAAGCTTGACGCTGTACTGAGCTTGCATGGGGTACTTGTTACACTTAAATGATTAGCAAGCTGGACGCTGTACTGTGCTTGCATGGGGTACTTGTTACACTTAAATAATTAGCAAGCTGGATGCTGTACTGGGATTACATGAGGTACTTGTTACACTTAAATGATTAGCAAGCTGGACGCTGTACTGAGCTTGCATGGGGTACTTGTTACACTTACATGATTAGCAAGCTTGATGTTGTACTGAGCTTGCATGGAGTACTTGTTACACTTAAATGATTAGCAAGCTGGATGCTGTACTGTGCTTGCATGGGGTACTTGTTACACTTAAATGATTAGCAAGCTGGACGCTGTACTGAGCTTGCATGGTGTACTTGTTACACTTAAATGATTAGCAAGCTGGATGCTGTACTGGGATTACATGGGATACTTGTTACACTTAAATGATTAGCAAGCTGGATGCTGTACTGAGCTTGCATTGGGTACTTGTTATACTTAAATAATTAGCAAGCTGGATGCTGTACTGGGATTACATGGGATACTTGTTACACTTAAATGATTAGCAAGCTTGACGCTGTACTGAGCTTGCATGGGATACTTGTTACACTTAAATGATTAGCAAGCTGGATGCTGTACTGGGATTACATGGGATACTTGTTACACTTAAATGATTAGCAAGCTGGATGCTGTACTGAGCTTGCATGGGATACTTGTTACACTTAAATGATTAGCAAGCTGGATGCTGTACTGAGCTTGCATGGGATACTTGTTACACTTAAATGATTAGCAAGCTGGATGCTGTACTGAGCTTGCATGGGATACTTGTTACACTTAAATGATTAGCAAGGGTTCTTGTTACACTTAAATGATTAGCAAGCTGGATGCTGTACTGAGCTTGCATGGGGTGCTTGTTACACTTAAATGATTAGCAAGCTGGATGCTGTACTGAGCTTGCTTGGGGTACTTGTTACACTTAAATGATTAGCAAGCTGGATGCTGTACTGAGCTTACATGGGGGTACCTGTTACACTTAAATGATTAGCAAGCTTGATACTGTACTGAGCTAACATGGGGGTACTTGTTACACTTAAATGATTAGCAAGCTGGATGCAGTATTGAGCTTGCTTGGGGTACTTGTTACACTTAAATGATTAGCAAGCTGGATGGTGTACTGAGCTTGCATGGGGTACATTTGAAATTGAAGGTATGACTGTAACTCTAGGATGAAGAATAAAAATAAAAGTGATGGTAATGTATTATAATTTTTATTTGTTTATGTTTTATGTGGTAATCCTCCTTGTTTGCTGTTAAGTGTCATTGGTGTTATAGTTTAATGTGATGCATCAAATCTTATGTCATGCAAAACATTCTATAGTTGTAACTGACAAATTCAATACTCATCATTGAAGTCTTAAAACAACACGAGAACATTCAAAATATGGTAAATCTATCAGAAATTCAAAATTTGCTATACTCCACAGGATCCATATTGGATGTTTACACTTTTTATTTATTACCTTATCAATATATTAAATACATGTTTTATAATGTACTTGAATGATAACTTTAAACTCACTGATGACAATGCTCAGTATTAAATATGACTTGTATAACCAGTGGAACATATTTCACCAGGTAAGGAACAAATCTCACAAACCCAGAACTTATTTCACCAGGTAAGGAATGAGGTTCACAAACCCAGAACTTATTCACCAGGTAAATTGTGGAACTTATTTTATAATGATGGAACAAAATATATAGAAATTACCTGTGAAAAAAGTTCTTCCAGAATATGTTTCCTGTGATATTTATTCCACCATGTCCACTGGAACTTTTTTCACAGGACCAAATTTTGGCTCACAAAAGCATATCATAGTTTTTTTATTTGTATTTATTGTGATTTTATAAAGAAAAAATCTGGACCTTAAAAAATGCTTGGTTTTACATGTCAAATTTCGTTAGCTCTACAAGAGGTTCAAAGGAGCCTGTATACTTCATTTGGCATTCATATATAATACTGACTTATTTTTCTGTGAGCTTTCAAGAAAGAACGTGCTTCACGTGTTAAAACATTAAAACCCGCTGCATTTTTATGCACATGTCCTAAGTCAGGAGCCTGTTGTTCAGTGGTTGTTGTTTGTTGGTGTGGTTCATAAGTGTTTCTCGTTTCTCACTTTTTATATAGATTAGACCGTTGAATCTCTGTTTGAATTGTTTTACACTAGTCATTTTGGGGCCCTTTATAGCTTGTTGTTTGGTGTGAGCCAAGGCTCCATGTTGAAGGCCGTACTTAGACCTATAACTATTTACTTTTTCTACATTGTGACTTGGACAGAGAGTTGTCTCATTGGCACTCATACCACATCTTCTTATTTATTTTGAAATATAAAAGGGGCTGATATATGAAAAAAAAAAAAATTTATGTTCTGTCTCTCTGAAACCATTGTGGATATTTCATCCTGTCTCTCAGATTTACATACCCTTGTGAATACTCCATCCTATCTCTCAGATTTACATACCCTTGTGAATACTCAATCCTATCTCTCAGATTTACATACTCTTGTGAATACTCTATCCTATCTCTCAGATTTACATACCCTTGTGAATACTCCATCCTATCTCTCAGATTTACATACCCTTGTGAATACTCCATCCTATCTCTCAGATTTACATACCCTTGTGAATACTCCATCCTATCTCTCAGATTTACATACCCTTGTGAATATTCCATCCTATCTCTCAGATTTACATACCCTTGTGAATACTCCATCCTATCTCTCAGATTTACATACCCTTGTGAATACTCCATCCTATCTCTCAGATTAACATACCATTTTCAATATTCCATTCTGTCTCTCTGAAAATCAAGTGACAGGCTACCTCATCCTTTAACAACATCTTTTCAGTTCTATTATTAAAACACCATTTTCTTAAGAATAAACCTGAAAAATTACAGCATTATCAATATAAAAAAACTTAAGATTATACTCAATGTTTTTAAAATCTTTCTTAATTAAAACATGTTATTTGTTGATCTATAAGATGAAGTAATTGAACATTCTGGTTCTTATCAAACTTGATATGAGTAAGCAGTATTCTAATTTTCATCCGAAACAAGGTATTTGATTATCATAGTACAATTCTATTGTATTGAAGATTTACCAGGCATTGGTTCACTGTTAAAATAAAAACTCAATAAATCTTCTTTTACCAAACTATGATTTCTCAATGTGAAATCTTTCTAAATAACAAGGAAAATCTCAAAATTAAAACATGGGCTTTATTATTTCCTTTAAAGTTTTAAATTGTAACTTACCATCATGTGATAAAGGGAGATAATCACAATTTCTCAGTCTTTTGTTCAACTTTTTTCCAAACAAAAATAAGGAAAAATGTTCAACGCTGGATTGCTTCAAGTCTGAAATGCACAGAACAAAAAAGTTATGACAATAAAACAACAAAATTACTTACTGTACATTTAAAAAAAAAAAAAATTGTAATCATTCAAAACTATTTCTTATTTTACATCAATGTTTTAACCAAATCTGTAGTGTATGTCAATTTCTTAACATCTTACCAGTTGCAGGCAAGACAAAATTGAGACAGCATCTCCATTCACAACAATCATAGTCTGTGATGGGATTGCTTCACTTGAGTAGTAGATACATTTTTGTACTTAACCAGCCATTATCTGTTGAGCTAGGATAGTACTCCTTTGGCTCAGTCAGTTAGAGCACTGACTTTAAACACAGAGGTCCCAATTTCATTTCCGAGAGGTGAAGATGTGATTTAATAAATAATTATACCTTACTGTTACATTTGGTGCACAACTCAAAAACCTAAAGACGTTAGAGATTATATCTTGACAAAGTTGTAAAGTCATAATAGTATGATGACTCCAGAGGTGATGGAAGTGTGATAGGGTTGCTTCCCTTGAGTAGTAGATATGTCACCAGCCATAACCTTTTAAGCTTTGGAAGTATTTCTTTAGCTTGGTTGGTTCAAGTGCTTACTTTGAACACAGAGGTCCTTTCTTTGCTGCCTGGAGGTCACAATCTAATTTTCTAATGAGTATCATGCTCTACTGTTACAACTGGCACTTCAACTGAAAAACCCATGGTGTAAAATAGTGATTGACAAAGTTTAGCATAAGTTTGATGTGTAAATTGTCATAATGGTATAATGACTCCCTTGAGATGGGCGAAGTGTAGCTGTGCTTCCCTTGACCATATCACCAACCTCCATCAGCTGTACAGGTGAATACTCCTTAAGCTCAGTTGGAAGAGCAGTGGATAACTGTGCTGGGGGTTCAGGGTTATTTTGGATAACAAATCATGGTCTCCAGTTACAAGTCCAATGGTTGGATGAAAACAATAGTATTCAAACAATAGTACATAAAAGGTCAATACACAATACATACTTAACATGAAAGTAGCTTTCTCATAGACTTCCTTTGTAGATATTCCTTCTTGATTCCTGTATACTCTCACCTATAAATAAACCATATATATTACATAATTATACTACTGACGTTTTATTTATTTTTGTGGGTACCAATTTTCGTGGATTAGAAAAACTTGCATTTTCATGGATAATTTGATTTCATTGTTTTCTTTTAACATTTAAATTTGAGGTTTACCTGTACCAATGAAATCCACAAAAAATTGGTATCCCGTAAATAAATATGAATCAACAGTAAGTTGGTTGTGTTTTCTGGTAAAATATGGCCCCAAATCCAACAATACTAGGATTAAAATTTGATAAACAGTTAACTTTCAACAACCATTGCACACTCCTACCACCACAATCTTGTACCAACTGGATATGAAATTGATTTAAATGTTGAACTTGTATTCTTAAAATACAACTGAATTAATGAAACCTTTTTTAAGCGAGCACCTTTAAAATTGAATGAAATGATTTGAAGGTCATCAGACCAAATTGTAGCTGATTGTTCTTAGCTTGTAGGCATACAATTGGATATTGAAAAACAAACAGTAAGTTTGGGGGTATATTTTTATGTTTTATCGTCAACAAATTGAAATATTCTTAAATAATTTGGAATTCTTTTGCAAACAAATAATTGTATAGGCCTTGTACTTTTACAGAAGAAAAAGAACTTGTACTTGATGTATTTCTAAATATCTTATTTTATTATTAAATGCTGTTTTGATGTCTTTAATTATTATGTTTTTCATGTGGAAGATTTCCAGATAATTTGCACTTCACTTTTGATAATCAAGAGGTGTAATTGTTCAAGAGTTCAGATATTTGTGTATTTATTAAAAGACAGGAAATTTTGAAAAGGCTATTTAATCACAGGTTGAATAAAATGCTTCGCTGAGCGCAGCTGGATAAGACCGCAGAGGTCCAACCCTGAACAGTTGGGGCGAAAATGGACACAATATTCGTGCTTGATACAGGTCTGAATTTGGATTGTAATTAAATATTTGACACATAATAGATTTCTGACACCAAATAACTGTAGTCAAAGAACTTAGAATTGGTTATATGATTTGAATTTATATTCAATTTTTTGCTTTTGTGAAATACACTATGCTGTTGCGTATTGACCCCCCCCCCCCCCCCCCCCCCCCCCCCCCCTTTGTTTTGCAAAAAAAAAATATTTGAAGAAATTTTCTTTTTAATTTCTGAAATCTGGAATGAAAAAAAAAAATTGCAACCCACAATTTCTTTTCTACCCCCTCCCTCCCCCCTTTTCCAAAAAAAAAAAATCTTTCCCTCAAGATATGGTCATAATCTCAATTCAAATTTCCAATGGAGTTTGCAACCATAATTACCAATTTAAATACATCATAAAAGTCTTAAATAGATAATTTAAAAGCAGTGTAAGGGAGGTAATCCAACATTGTACAATTTTGTTTTTGGATTATCTCCCTTACACTGCTTTTAAATTGTCCATTAACCAGGAAACCATTGTTTTTCCCCTTTTTTGCCCCTTATTCCTAAACGGTTTCAGCCATAACCCCCCAAAGCCAATCCTAACCATCCCTTTGAGGTATGGAAACTTGTGGTATAATTTCAGAGAGATCCATACACTTAAACACAAGTTATTGTCTTGAAGTTACAAAAATGCTTATTTTTGGCCCCTAATTCCTTAACTGTTAGTACCATAACCCCCAAACCTTCCTTTTGTGGTATTGAACCTTATGGTAAAATTTCATAGAGATCCATTCACTTAGACTAAAGTTATTGTGCGAAAACCAATGTGCCTTCGGACAACGACGCCAACGTCATACCAATATACAACTTTTGCGGTCGTATAAAAAGGGATTAAAGTGATGAATGAGATATTTAAAAGGGGGAAATTTCATAACTTATCAGTTTATGTCAGTAAGTCCTTTCTGTAAGTGTCTCAAACCTTTTCTGCTATATGGATAGGAAATATGGGGATTCAGTAATTGTGATATTTGATTGTCAATAATATTTAAATGCCACAGAAAATGATTTCAAAACATATATTTTCATTATCAGGCAAATTCTATCAGATTTAGATAACTTTCTACCTATAAACCTTCAAAATTACCAAAAAAATCATCATTATAGCTTTAGCTGATCAATAGAGGAGACAGCTAGACATATTTTTGTGAATCTATCATAACATAAGTAAGTTTTTAAACTTTTAATATTTCATTTTCTAAAATTTATTTCCGTTATTTAGAATTACTATAATGTCCCTTTTTTGGTCATAAAGCCTGCTCTTCAACTGTTTCAGTTCTTATACATCCTTGGATTTCAAAATATCCAGCTGTGAGCTTTCAAAATGTAGGTAAATTCCCGAAAAGCACATGGATGCATACAATTTATATAGTGTTATTTTCATTTATTAAAGCACAGGGTCAATACCTCTGCTGGTACATGTATCATCAGCTCAGTAGTCAGTTCTTTGGTTCTGACATGAATTCAGTACTGCCAAGTTTTCATGAAGCAAATGCATGAGATTTGGCCAAAATTGTAAAGATCAAAGAGAAAGAACAATAGATCAAAGGAAAATGCTGCAAAATAAGCATAAAAATGCGTGAGACTGGGCAGCCCTGTGATTTATATTATGACTTTCGTGAATTTTGGTTTATATACATTGATCAATTAATTTTAGTAAGAAATTGTAAAGTTCCAATTCCCTCAGGCAAAGTTGACCTTAAATGGATTTGGCTATAATATTTTTAGATCTTTGCGCATTTCTGATGAAGGTAAATCCAGAAAAGTGCATGGACGCATACAGTAGTGTCCGGTAATTCCGCCCGTCCAGTAAACCCGCCTACTCCCATTTCTTCCATAATTGTCAATACCGTGAATATTTTGTCTGCTATTTTATTCACAGGAACTGTACTTATCATCACTGCATGTCAAATTTTAAAGAATAATCCTTTATTACAAAAATATCTAGTGATATATATACTACAGTTCCTAAAGCTAACGATAATCATATTATTGCTTACAAAACTCATTTCTGACTTGAAATTTTTTTGGGATTATCTGGAATCTCTTTATAAGTGGTCTATTAATAAATAGATCACCTGTTTACTTTCATAAATTTGTGATTAATGTGCCCTCCATACATATTTACTGTGCATGGGTGGATTTACCGGACAAACACATTTCCGATAAAAACCCGGATGACCCTCTTGTTTTGTGGATTTTAAAATTTATTTCAGACATTTTTTGGGAAATGAGATAAACTACTCAAAGTTGATTAGTCAGTGAATCGATTTATATTAAATTTGATACAATTTGTATATAATTAAGCAGAAATACTTATGTCTTATGTGGGCCAATTTAACGGACTGCATCGTACAATTTGTCAATTTATAAAGTGCTACCAGAGAGATATATATTAGTCCAAATAATTATGACGTTTTGAAAGGCTATTTAATTTTTTTGCTGTGAAGTCGTACATGTAGGAAGGCGTCACAGCAAAAAAATAAAATCGCATTTCAAGACCTCATAAGTATTTTATTTTTTTCTGTGACGCCTTCCTACGACGTCGTAGAAAGGCGTCACAGAAAAAAATTAAAATACATGTAGCCTTGCAAGACGTCGGACTAGTCACTAGGCCTGAGCTTAATTTTCTCAATCCCCTTTCCAGGCATGGTTATTGCATTTTGATTTCCTTAAACCACATGTCGACATAGTTTGCATACTAAATAAATTTTTAAGGAACCAGTTGAACCTCTAGTTCTGGCCAGTTCTCATGAAAAGTCCGGACCCTAACTGGAACAAGTTCTTGCAGTTCCATAGCAGCTAGCTACTAGTCGCCAGTCGCAATGTGATTCTATTTTAAGAGAAAAAAATCCCGTCACGTGAACCTTTTCCGGAAGTAAATAAGCACATGACCACACGATGGAAGCTGTTATCAACTTGTCTGTTTGTATTCTAGCTTTCATATCAGTTTTATCTGATGTGATAAATGCAGAATCGTGTACTCAAATCAACAGCTGTTCATGTCGAACAGAGTCTTCTAATTTTGTGTTTAATTTAAAGCCATTGTCTCAACCAAACAATCCGAGGTAACCTGTTACCTATTCTGTAAATTCCACCTTTTCCTGATGAACCACTTCGATTGGGAAGTCCTCTTGAAGTGTAGAATCCCTTATCCGTTACATATTATTCACATTTTTGGCAATTGCATTTATATTCAAAACGTCTTCTTTATACACTTATAATATACACCGCCACCACACTTAATTATATATATTCAAACTGGTATATATACAGTCATATTTAAAATCTAAAACTTCATCAATAGAATATATCCAGATTACACATTGAGCATAAAACTTGCTCGACTCAGCAAATGTCTGTTTCTCCTTTATCATACTTATGACTAACCGAAGGATGCACAGCCTTCTTTTACTTTAGGGGTCCCAACCCATATAGAGCTATATAAACTATCCTTTACCCTAAACCTTATACTAACCCATACCTAACACTAGCGCTAACCCTAAAACCCAACCCATACCAAGAACTTCCCCTAACCTAACCATTATTAAATCATGAATGAACCATAAACCCTAAAGTATAAGGGACCCCTAAACATGCTAAAGTAAAAGAAGGCACATTAAAATCTAAAACTTGCTCATAGTTTATCCCTATCATATACACCTTAACAACTTTACTAACTTATTTATTCTTATACTTAGAGTAAACACAGAATACACAATAAAATCTAAAACTTGCTCGACTCAGCAAAAGTATTTTTCTCCTTTATCATACTTATGACTAACCAAAAAATGTACATTAAAATCTAAAACTAATTCATAGTTTACACCTATCATATTCACCTTAGCACCTTAACTGATTTATTTGTACATATACTTAGAGTATACGCAGAATACACAATAAAATCTTAAACTTGCTCGACTCAGCAAAAGTCCAAAGTCATAGTTTATCCTATCATATAAACCTTAGCAACTTAACTGATTTATTTAAACTTTTAAAATCTACCATTTGCTTAAATCAATAAATGTCATTATCATCTATACCACACTCAAAAAATTATTACACTAAATGTCTCTTTTAACTGGCAGAACTATTTAGAGAGTCTTTACAGGATTAAACTTGATCTCTTCTGATGTAGAGCAAAACATAAGCTACTTGTCAAGCGCTCAATATTTATCCATAATTGTTTTAAGAACTGGAATTTTGTACAGTCTACTATTAATTGTAATAGATTATCATCAAAATTAAATAAATCCTCCACAAGTGGTAAATTTATCTTAGCACTTAATAAAGTTCTTAGTAGTATTATGAATTTCAATCTAACTCCTTCCAGTGGTTTACATTTTAATAAAAGGTGCATGAGATCTTCAGGATGTTTAAAACACAATGGACATAAAGAACTTGTTCTGTTTCCATTAAATTTGGCAAGATCAGCTTGAAGAGTATATGTCCCACTTATTATTTTGGCTTTTACACAGGCTCTTTTAACAGATAAGAGTTCTGAACCACTACTCTTCAGATTTTAATAACACTTATGGTATATCATAGTTTTGCATTGGCATTGTCTCGAACATATTCGAAAATCAGTGCCAATCAACAATTTTTATACGACTGCAAAAAATTTGCGTTCGTATAATGCTATCATGTCGGCGTCGTCCGAAGACACATTTGGTTTCTGGACAATAACTTTAGTGAAAGTGAATGGATCTCTATGAAATTTTACTAGAAGGTTCAATACCACAAAAGGAAGGTTGGGATTGATTTTGGGGGTTATGGTACCAACAGTTTAGGAATTAGGGGCCAAAAGCAAGCATTTTTTTAGTTTCCGGACAATAACTTGTGTGTAAGTGTATGGATCTCTCTGAAATTGTACCACAAGGTTCCATATCACAAAGGGAAGGCTGGGATTGAGTTGGAGGTAATTGCTCCGAACATTCAGGAATTAGGGGCAAAAAAGGGGCCAAAAACAAGCATTTTTCAAGTTTCCAGACAATAACTTGTGTTTAAGTGTATGGATCTCTCAGAAATTGTACTACAAGGTTCAATACCACAAAAGGAAGGTTGGGATTGATTTTGGGGGTTATGGTACCAACAGTTTAGGAATTAGGGGCCAAAAGCAAGCATTTTTTTAGTTTCCGGACAATAACTTGTGTGTAAGTGTATGGATCTCTCTGAAATTGTACCACAAGGTTCCATATCACAAAGGGAAGGCTGGGATTGAGTTGGAGGTAATTGCTCCGAACATTCAGGAATTAGGGGCAAAAAAGGGGCCAAAAACAAGCATTTTTCAAGTTTCCAGACAATAACTTGTGTTTAAGTGTATGGATCTCTCAGAAATTGTACTACAAGGTTCAATACCACAAAAGGAAGGTTGGGATTGATTTTGGGGGTTATGGTACCAACAGTTTAGGAATTAGGGGCCAAAAGCAAGCATTTTTTTAGTTTCCGGACAATAACTTGTGTGTAAGTGTATGGATCTCTCTGAAATTGTACCACAAGGTTCCATATCACAAAGGGAAGGCTGGGATTGAGTTGGAGGTAATTGCTCCGAACATTCAGGAATTAGGGGCAAAAAAGGGGCCAAAAACAAGCATTTTTCAAGTTTCCAGACAATAACTTGTGTTTAAGTGTATGGATCTCTCAGAAATTGTACTACAAGGTTCCATACCACAAAGGGAAGGCTGGGATTGAGTTAGGGGGTAATTGCTCCAAACGTTCAGGAATTAGGGGCAAAAACGGGGCCAAAAACAAGCATTTTTCTAGTTTCCAGACAACAACTTGTGTTAAAGTTTATGGAACTCTCTGAAATTGTACATTTTTCCTGAAAAGAAAATAATCTAAACAAATTTGGGGGGGGGGGGGGGGGGATTTTTTTTGGGGGAATAATTTTTTTCAATTTTGTGGGGGGGGATTTATACTATTTTCTTCAAGATTTTTCAAAATTTCAAATTATTTTTTGGGGGGGGACAAATATTTTTGGGGGATTTTTTTTTCACAATTATTTTCCATTTTTCCATTGATTATATCTGATTTATATATAAAAGCAACAAAAACTGATATGGCAGGAGATGCACACCAAACAGGGTGTGTAAATAGAGAATATCATATGGCTTTTTCAATATCACATCCATATCAACCCGAGACACCAATATAATCCCAAGAGCTCTGCTTGAGGGATTATATTGGTTGAGGGTTGATACGGTGTGTGATATTGAAAAAAGCCATATCATATGCACTTTATTATATACCTCAAGTAGATGTTTTATGTGACATGAGGTTATACAGATTAGGGGTTTGATAAAGCCTTTGCAAAATTCAGTGACTGATATCAATGACGTGACGTCATACAGATTAAAGGTGTGATAAAGCCTTTGCAACCGTGACTGATATCGATATCATCATGGATGGCTGATACAACAAGATTGCTGTTGACTGTATTACACATACAATTTATCTGTATTTACTATTAAGTATATAATGAATTATTATATATAACAGATTAACTAAGTATTGTGCAACAGCACAGTATTGCGCAATAGCAAGAAATCTTCAATTGAAAATAAATACAAATCTTTAAACCAATTTCAATGGGTTTAGTTTAAAGTCTTTAATTTTGGGGGTTCTAACCTTATATTACTATTTTGGATGTTGGTCCCATTTTTAAATTGGTCTACATTGAGGTCCAAAGGGTCCAAAATTAAACTTTGTTTGATTTCATCAAAAACTGAATTATTGCGGCTCTATGATATGCTGAATCTTATTGTGCATTTAGATTTTTTTATTTTGGGCCCTGTTTTCAAGTTAGTCCAAATTAAGGTTTGAAGGGTCCAAAATTAAACTTTGTTTGATGTCAACTAAAATTAAATTTTTGGTGTTTTTTTATATGCTGAATCTAACCATGTTGTTAGATTTTGGATATCAGACCATACTAGGTAAATTAAATGTCCCATTTCAAATTTTTAAGAAAGATCTTTGACCACATTAAATGTTTTGTGTCAGAAATCTATATTATGTCAAAAGTTTGATCACAATCCAAATTCAGACAGTATCAAGCTTGATTATTCTGTCCAAACTTGCCCCAACTGTTCAGGGTTCGATCTTTGCGGTCGTATCAGGCTGCGCTCGGCGAAGCATTTTATTTAAAGAGTTATGCCCCCTGGAAATATTTAATATATGGAAAATTGCATTGTTAGCGCTCTCATGTGTACAATTCTTGTCAGATTTCTACAAAACTTATATCATAGGTTTATATCAGCAATGTCTCGGACAAGTTCTAAAATCAGTGCTGATCAACAAATTTTAAAAGAGTTATGCCCCTTGGAAATATTAATTATATGGAAAATTGCATTGTAAGCACTCTCAACTGTACAATTTTTGCCAGATTTTTATCAAATTGTTGGATATTTTTGAAAATGAGTGCCAATCAAATATTTTTAAAAGAGTTATGCCCTTGGAAATATTAATTATATTGGAAATTGCATTGCATTAGTTCTCAAGCCTTCATTTCTCTATATTTTACAGAACAAAAAGAAAGTTTTATTTTTTAGTTATTGCCTTTGAACAGATAAAATATGTGCAATGCGGGGACATTCGACCTCTGTTCTTTAATTTTTATACGACCGCAAAAAAATTTTGTGGTCAGATATTGGTATGACGTTGCCGAGGACACTTTGGTTTTCGCACTCTAACTTTAGTTTAAGTGAATGGATCTCTATGAAATTTTACCATAAGGTTCAATACCACAAAAGGAAGGGGGTAATGGTACCAACAGTTAAGGAATTAGGGGCTAAATAGGGGCCACAAATAAGCATTTTTGTAACTTCCAGACATAACTTGTGTGTTGTGTATGGATCTCTCTGACATTGTACCACAAGGTTCCATATCACAAAGGGAATGCCCAGGGATTGATTTTGGGGTAATTGCCTCAAAATTTTAGGAATTAGGGGGCAAAAAACAAGCATTTTTCTAGTTTCATGACAATAACTTGTGTGTAAGTGTATGGATCTTTCTGAAATTGTACTACAAGGTTCCATATCACAAAGGGAAAGCTGGAATTGAGTTTGGGGGTAATTTCCCAAAACGTTTAGGAATAAGGGTCCAAAAATAATCATTTTTCTAGTTTCCAGACAATAACTTGTGTTCAAGTATATGGATCTTTATGAAATTGTACTACAAGGTTCCATATAACAAAGGGAAAGCTGGGTTTGAGTTTGGGGGTAATTGCCCTAAACGTTTAGGAATTTGGGGCAAAAAAACAAGTATTTTTCTAGTTTCCAGACAATAACTTGTGTTCAAGTATATGGATCTCTCTGAAATTGTACTGCAAGGTACCATACCACAAAGGGAAGGGTTGGATTGAGTTTGAGGGTGATGAATCATAAGGGGGTTCAAAACATTTTAGGGGAGGGATTTTTTTTTCCTTTTTTTCTTTAAAATTTTCCATTTTAAATTGGTTATTTCTGATTTATATATAAAAGCAAATAATAATGATATGGTTTGAATAGGTAAATTAAAAATTTATAAGTTCTTAGACCACATTCATTCTGTGTCAGAAACCTATGCTGTGTCAAATATTTAATCACAATCCAAAGTCAGTGTGTATCAAGCTTGAATGTTGTGTCCATACTTGCCCCAACTGTTCAGGGTTTGACCTCTGTGGTAGTATCAAGTTGCGCCCAGCGGAGCAATTTATTTTAAGATGTACTGGTAATAAAAAGTATGGGTCAGGGAATTATTTTTTTCACAGGTTGTGCAAAATTGTCTGAGCTTGTAAAGATGATACATGGAAAAACCACGTTGTGTAAATAGAAAGGAAATTTAAAAATAGAATGCTAAGATGAAATATGAGGAAATAGCTCTTATGATTTAAGAAAATAAGATGAAAAAAATTGGGTCATAGCACTTATTCTCATTACAAAACAAAGTAGGTTTATACTTTATGCTATACATTACCTAGCTTTCAAACTAATCTTCCCTAAGGCCCTGAAAAATACATTGAAATATAACAAACAAAGAAGTACAAAATAATCAAACAAACACACATATAAAAAAATATAAAAATATTTCATTTTTAAAACAGGTAAAAATGATAAATTCATACAGTATTGACATCATTCAAATTAGCTCGACAATGTTCAAAGTTCAAATATGTATATAATATTTCACAGCTTCTTAATGTTCTAACAAGTAATTTTTTAATCTTTTTTTAACGTTCTTCTACTTTAGGTTGATTCTTTCAGGGATATTGGTAACTAAGTTATTCCATAAAGAGGATCCTCAATATATAAAAGTCTTTTTTTTTATACAACTCTGTTTTTGGCTTATGGGACTTTTGATTTTTTGTAAGACATATCTCTCAAACAGTATTGGTAATTTTCTGGTATTTCTTTGAATTTTTTTGTTAAATATATAGGGGCTTCATACTTGAGGCAATTATGCATCAAAACAGACTTTTGGTATGAGATTCTGTTCTCTACTGTCATCCACCCAAGCTGTTTAATAACTTGGTGCTCAGGCTGAAAGTGCAATTTTCTGCAATTTTATTATCTTTACTAGCTCATTTTAAGTAAAACCACTCAAAACAATGATCAATTAGTGGGAGAATATAACCATTATAAAATAATTTTCTTGAATCTATATTAAGAAATTGCTTAATTTTAGAGAGTAAATAGAGTCTAGATGATATTGTAAATGAACATGAATAATTAACAAGGCCTGTCCATGATAGATCAGAGTCAATTCTAACACACAGTAGGAATGGACTCTGCCATCATTTAGTTTCATTCTGTGGCTATTATTTTTTGCCATCAATAACTTTTTTTTTCTTTAAGCCATTTTGTTTTCTGTCTTTCGTCGTTTGATGGTTTTCAGGTTGTCCCCATGGAATCTTCTTACTTGATGATAATTGGTCCCAATTAAGCCTATACTTCAGTTTACTAAGTCGAGGCATTGTGACTTTCAGAAATTGTAAGGTTAGCTAAAAATAGGGCAATGTGCCTTATTGTTTTAATTTTAAATAAAGTTAGAAATACATAGATTTTGGTTAATTTTCAGATAGTTTTTGGACCCTTAGATATTTTAAGGACATGCATGTTTCAAATTTATTATTTGTCTATTTGAACCACATAATATAGATATAAGAAGATGTGGTATGAGTGCCAATGAGACAACTCTCCATCCAAGTCACAATTTATAAAAGTAAACCATTATAGGTCAAGGTACGGTCTTCAACACATTGTTCATTTGAATATTTATTTGCTCTGGTTTTGTGTTATTATTTGCATTTTTTTTTTACCTTTTTGATCGAAAAAAATGATTTATGCTACTTTTTGAACCCAAAATCTCCTTGAATATTCACGATACTGTAAATACAGAGATTTAGGCAATGTTTTTATTATTGCCAAAATTGAAACAAGATACTGATAGGTTTCGCAAAATTAAAAAAACTGACATATTTAATTTGATAGCATTATTTGTATACATAGTATTTTCTTAAATTGCAATAATTAATCTTACATTTTTGTCCATTGTTCAACAGTCACAATAATAAATGCACACACAAACTTCTGATTTTACAGTATTTCAAAGATATTATAGTTTAAACTTTGCACATGCTTATTAATAATTGTAATACTTCAATTGTTTAGGCCAAATAGGGGATAGGCCTGTAGCACACATGTTCTCCTTTAGTAATTTTTGGCCAAATGGGCCCTTTAAAAACTCCTATCCTTCTTCTGTTCTTTCATTTGATTAATCTGACAATTTAACCTAACTGTGTTCAATAATGTGGCTGGACACATACATTATGTCCCACTTTGATGCAGGACATGTACAGTAGTTAAGAGATATCAAATAATAGGGTTGTCATATTGGATCTTGTGTTTTTTTGTCTTTGAAAGGTAGCTTTAATCAATAGTTTCAACATATAAAGAACAAGCTTTAAGATTACAAATTTTTTTGTGTATGTAATATTAGTAAGTGTAGAGGTTAAATGCTTAATCATTCAACTATCACATGTTGATTTTACAGTTTGGTAGCCACAGATTCAAAAGGGGGTTATAAATATATATATAACCCATGCGATCCAATGACTGTATGTAAAACTGGAGGTGGAGAAAAAGATATAGCAGTAAGTCATTATTATTTACAATCTCAGCTAGGATTTTACTAAGCATATTAAAAAGGCATTGTCCTTTCACAATACCAATTGCAAAAAAAATGTTTTATCAAATGGGACTTTGAATTAATGTATACAAACTGATCAACTGGTATAACATTTTAACTCGTTGCTTCAGTGAAAGATTGTAAGTATATCATACAGTGTAATCAAATTAAAACTTACCATCCAATTCCAGTGATTCACTGTCTGTAACTACTAATCTGCTGATTTTTAAGGGAACTAATTAACATTTTACAGTACTGCCAATTTTTCAAGAAGCATTCAAATGTGTGAGATTTGGCCAAAATTGTAAAGATCAAAGAGAAAAAACAATAGATCAAAGAAAAATGCTGCCAAATAAGCACCAAAATGCGTGAGTCTCAAGCTAATTGCATGAGACTTGGCAGCCCTGATTTTATGTAGAATTTAACACAGAATCTTTTTGTTATGTTTAATTTTTATTATGTCCCTTGAATACCATGTTGTCAACTTTTTTTTTCTGAAAACAATTCACTAATCTAACAAATAAATTTCAGTGTTCTTTGCGAGACACTTCATAATAGTTTAATAACCATTGAAACAATGTTTAGAACAAATTACTTTTAAAATGTCATTAGGATCGGAGTTGATTGATAATTTTTGGCGGTTTTTATTTTGGCGGATTCTTAAATACCAATTTAATATTTTGGCGGATACCTAAATGGTTGTAGTTTAAGAGTTGTAAAAATTGACAAGCAAGTGTCTATTGTTATGGTTAAATTGTTGTTTTGCCTGCATGATGTCTTATTTATTGGATATATATTGATACAGTTAATCAGTAGAATACCGGTAGCTTAGATATTTGTCTAGGTGTACAAATTTCTTGTAAATGTTACAGTTGATTAGTAACAAAATTGACCGGACCTTTGATGTACTAGTTAGGTTATAAAGTAATCAAGACTGACTTGCAACTCTCATTACATAATTTGACACTAATTAATAAGGGTAAATATCTTGACAGAGTACCTTACACTTATATTATTTGACACTTATAAACTAGTTAACACCTGACAGCCATTTTATAAAATATATGCCCCGGTAATACTATGATGTTGTTAAAACTAACATAAACCGTTATTGACCCGCCGACCGGAAAAAGTATATCCTTTACAAAATGCTTCAGCTATTAGAAAGTATCGTAAGTACCGGTATGCATAAATTTTCGCGATTTTCCTTTATCCGCCAAAATAAGCGAAAATAAACACCCTGCGAAAATAACCCGCTATACGGTAAGTCAATGATATTTTGTTTGCAGTTGTATTAGCATTGGCATGATATATCTCAGAAATTTTGGGCCCTGTTCCTTCAGTCAAGGTTCATTGACTTTACATGTTAAAGATTTGCTATTTTGATTTTAACATTTGCATTTTTCTATAAAAATTATATACAGGCAAGACATATCTCTGTGTCAACAGTTTATTAAAGAATAATGTTCCTTACAAGAAGGTGCTCACAGTTGCTTCTAGTTTTTTTTCATAACAGATGTCAGTCACAAGGAATGGTTTACTTCATACTTCATTCTCTAGCAATTTTCATATCGTGTGTATTTTTTGATTAATTTCCACCTTTTCACACAACCACAAAAAATTTGCGTTCGTATATTGCTATCATGTCGTCATTGTCATCCAGCGTTGTCATCGTTGTCTTCTGAAGACACATTTGGTTTCCAGACAATAACTTTAGTTTAAGTGAATGGATCTCTGAAATTTTACCAGAAGGTTCAATACCACAAAAGGAAGGTTGGGATTGATTTTGGGGGTTATGGTACCAACAGTTTAGGAATTAGGGGCCAAAAAGGGGCCAAAAACAAGCATTTTTGTAGTTTCCGGACAATTACTTGTGTGTAAGTGTATGGATCTCTCTGCAATTGTACTACAAGGTTCCATACCACAAAGGGAAGGCTGGGATTGAGTTTGGGGGTAATTGCCCCAAACGTTTAGAAATTAGGGTGCAAAAAAGTGGCCAACAACAAACATTTTTCTAGTTTCCAGACAAGAACTTGTGTTTAAGTTTATGGAACTCTGAAATTGTACATTTTTCCTAAAAAGAAAATAATCTTCAAATTTCAAAAAAATGGGGGGGGGGGAATTTTTTTCAAATCTTTTTTGGGGGTTCATATTTTTTTTCTTAAAAATTTCAAATTTTTTGCAAATTTTTTTTTTTTGGGGTGATTCATACTTTTTTCTTCAAGATTTTTCAAATTTTTTTTTGTGGGGGGGAGGGGGGGGGGGGCAAATTTTTTAGGGGGAATTTTTTTTCATAATTTTTTGGGTTTTTTTTCCCCAAAATTTTCCATTTTTACACAGGTTATTTCTTATTTATATATAAAAGCAACAAATACTGATATGACAAGAGATGCACACCATACAGGGTGTGTAAATTATCATATATAACAGATTAACTAAGTATTGTGCAACAGCACAGTATTGCGCAATAGCAAGAAATCTTCAATTAAAAATAAAGACAAATCTTTTGACCAATTTCAATAGGATTAATTTAAAGTCTTTAATTTTTGGGGGTTCTAACCTTGCATTACTATTTTGGGTATTGGGGCCCCATTAAGGGTCCAAAATTAAACTTTGTTTGATTTCATCAAAAACTGAATTATTGCGGCTTTATGATATGCTGAATCTTATTGTGCATTTAGATTTTTTATTTTGGGCCCTATTTTCAAATGTATTAAAGTTTGAAGGTTCCAAAATGAAACTTTGTTTGATTTCAACTAAAATTAAATTTTTGGTGTTTTTTTATATGCTGAATCTAACCATGTTGTTAGATTTTTGGATATCAGACCATACTAGGTAAATTAAATGTCCCATTTCAAATTTTTAAGATCTTTGACCACATTTATTTTGTGTCAGAAACCTATATTATGTCAAAAATTTGATCACAATCCAAATTCAGACGGTATCAAGCTTGAATATTGTGTCCAAACTTGCCCCAACTGTTTAGGGTTTGACTTCTGCAGTTGTATCAGGCTGCGCTTGGCAAAGCATTTTATTGCCTATTATCTCGAAAACTACAAGAGATAGGCAGAAACTATAAGAGCAAAAATTATCAGCTATACAAACCTTCAAAACTGACAATTTGATCGAAACAGTCAGATGACTTCTAATATAGAAGTCATTGGCCTTGAATTATGACATTTGACAATTTTTTTGTGTTTTTGCAACAGAACCTAGAATAAAAACCTCACAGAAGTGTGGAGTTTTAGTTGATGATATACTTGCTTAAAGGAACATAGATCCTCTCCAACCTGATAAAGGAGATAATTGAAATAGCAGTGCAGGGTATCCTTTCTTGACGTGCTCACTCCCAGTTCTAGTTAGGGATTCCTATTATCCTTTTTATACGACCGCAAAAATTGAAAATTTTTTGGTCGTATATTGGTATGACGTTGGCGTCGTCGTCGTCGTCGTCGTCGTCGTCGTCGTCGTCGTCGTCGTCGTCGTCGTCGTCCGGCGTCGTCTGGCGTCGTCCGAAGACACATTGGTTTTCGCACTCTAACTTTAGTTTAAGTGAATGGATCTCCATGAAATTTTACCATAAGGTTCAATACCATGAAAGGAAGGTTGGGATTGATTTTGGGGGTTATGGTACCAACAGTTAAGGAATTAGGGGCCAAAAAGGGGCCAACAATAAGCATTTTTGTAACTTCCAGACAATAACTTGTGTGTAAGTGTATGGATCTCTCTGACATTGTACCACAAGGTTCCATATCACAAAGGGAAGGCTGTAATTGATTTTGGGGGTAATTGCCTCAAAATGTTAGGAATTAGGGGCCAAAAAAGGGGAAAAAAACAAGCATTTTTCTAGTTTCATGACAATAACTTGTGTGTAAGTGTTTGGATATTTCTGAAATTGTACTACAAGGTTCCATATCACAAAGGGAAAGCTGGAATTGAGTTTGGGGGTAATTGCCCGAAACGTTTAGGAATTGGGGGCCAAAAAGGGGCCAAAAATAAGCATTTTTCTAGTTTCCAGACAATAACTTGTGTTCAAGTGTATGGATCTCTCTGAAATTGTACTGCAAGGTACCATACCACAAAGGGAAGGCTGAGATTGAGTTTGGGGGTGATGATTCATAAGGGGGTTCAAAAAATTTTGGGGGGGGATTTTTTTTTTTCTTTTTTTCCTTTTTTTTTTCTTTTAAAATTTTCCATTTTAAGTTGGTTATTTCTGATTTATATTTAAAAGCAAATAATAATGATATGGTAGGAGATACACACCAAACAGGATGTGTAAATTATTATATAATAAGTATTGTGCAATAGCAAGAAATTTTCAATTGCACAGTATTGCACAATAGCAAGAAATCTTCAATTGCACAGTATTGCGCAATAGCAAGAAATCTTCAATTGCACAGTATTGCGCAATAGCAAGAAATCTTCAATTGCACAGTATTGTGCAATAGCAAGAAATATCCAATAGCACAATATTGCGCAATAGCAAGAAATTGTCAATTGTACAGTATTGCGCAATAGCAAGAAATAATCAATTGCACAGTATTGTGCAAAAGAAGATACTTCGTATAAATTGCTTATTTCTTGATCAATTTCAATGGGGATTTATTCTTGAATTCTTGGGGTTCTTTAATATGCTGAATCTAACCGTGTATTAAGTTTTTGGATTTTGGGCCCCGTTTTTAAATTGGTCCACATTGAGGTCCAAAGGGTCCAAAATTTAACTTTGTTTGATTTCATCAAAAATTGAATTATTGGGGTTCTTTGATATGCAGAATCTAACCGTGTATTTAGATTCTTAATTTTTGGTTCTGTTTTCAAATTGGTCTACATAAAGGTCCAAAGGGTCCAAAATTAAACTTAGTTTGATTTCAACAAAAATTGAATATATGGGGTTCTTTGATATGCTGAATCTAACCATGTATTTAGATTTTTGATTATGGGCCCAGTTTTCAAGTTGGTCCAAGTCGGGGTCCAAAATTAAACTTTGTTTGATTTCAACAAAAATTGAATATATGGGGTTCTTTGATATGCTGAATCTAACCATGTATTTAGATTTTTGATTATGGGCCCAGTTTTCAAGTTGGTCCAAGTCGGGGTCCAAAATTAAACTTTGTTTGATTTCAACAAAAATTGAATATATGGGGTTCTTTGATATGCTGAATCTAACCATGTATTTAGATTTTTGATTGTTGGGCCCCGTTATCAACTTTGTCCACATTGAGATCAAAAGGGTCCAAAATTAAACTTTGTTTGATTTCATCAAAAATTGAATATATGGGGTTCTTTGATATGCTGAATCTAACCATGTATTTAGATTTTTGATTATGGGCCCAGTTTTCAAGTTGGTCCAAATCAGGGTCCAAAATTAAACTTTGTTTGATTTCAACAAAAATTGAATATATGGGGTTCTTTGATATGCTGAATCCAACCATGTATTTAGATTTTTGATTATGGGCCCAGTTTTCAAGTTGGTCCAAATCGGGGTCCAAAATTAAACTTTGTTTGATTTCAACAAAAATTGAATATATGGGGTTCTGTAATATGCTGAATCTAACCGTGTATTAAGTTTTTGGATTTTGGGCCCCGTTTTAAAATTGGTCCACATTGAAGTCCAAAGGGTCCAAAATTTAACTTTGTTTGATATCATCAAAAATTGAATTATTGGGGTTCTTTGATATGCCGAATCTAACCGTGTATTTAGATTGTTAATTTTTGGTTCCGTTTTCAAATTGGTCTACATAAAGGTCCAAAGGGTCCAAAATTAAACTTAGTTTGATTTTAACAAAAATTGAATTTCTAGGGTTCTTTGATATGCTGAATCTAAACATGTATTTAGATTTTTGATTATGGGCCCAGTTTTCAAGTTGGTCCAAATCGGGGTCCAAAATTAAACTTTGTTTGATTTCAACAAAAATTGAATATATGGGGTTCTTTGATATGCTGAATCTAACCATGTATTTAGATTTTTGATTTTTGGGCCCTGTTATCATTTTTGTCCACATTGAGATCAAAAGGGTCCAAAATTAAACTTTGTTTGATTTCATCAAAAATTGAATTCTTGGGGTTCTTTGATATGCTGAATCTAACCATGTATTTAGATTTTGGATATTGGACCATAATAGGTGAATGTCCAATTTAAAATTTTTAAGTTCTTAGACCACATTCATTCTGTGTCAGAAACCTATGCTGTGTCAAATATTTAATCACAATCCAAATTCAGAGCTGTATCAAGCTTGAATGTTGTGTCCATACTTGCCCCAACTGTTCAGGGTTCGACCTCTGCGGTCGTATCAAGCTGCGCCCTGCGGAGCATTTTATTACATATTGTTGATATATCCTTTAAGAAGGAAAACAGTTACTGAATAGGTGAGGCATTATTGGTTATTTTTCTACTTGTTGAGGTATGCCAACAAAGCATAGGAACAACTACTACATACTACTGTGCAGGAAAAGAGTCTGGTTCTATATTCCAAGGTGACCTTCAAGCTGGAAGTTTGAGCATGAAATTTCAATGTACTGCTGATGATGCTCAAAAAACTATAAGGTAATATGAGTTAGAATTGTAATACTTTTCCTGAATCTAAATATATATATGATATTGGCAGATTGGATAAATGAATTCTGTCCTGAGATGTAAATTCAGAATTTTTTCTGATGTTTTTATTTGTGCAAAAATTTTGACAGAATAATTTTTGCAAAAATAAAGACTATTTTAGATATTGATGCACCTTTCCTGAAATTGCAAGGATTAATCTTTCATTTTTGTTAATTGTTCAACAATCACATAAATGCACACAAAATAAATTTACAGTATTGTATCGCATGAAGTAGTTATACTGTGCAATTGAGATGGACAGATTTTGAAGCTTATTTGGTGCCTGTACCAAGTCAGGGTAAAAGGACCATGTGTTATTCCTTTTTTTGGAAATAAATGTATTTTAAACTTACAAAATATCTAAAAAATTATGTTTATCTGACAAAAACATCAGTTTTGAAACTATATCATTACACTTTATTCACAGGAAAATGTTGCATGCTAACTTATAGTTAATTCTGATTTCATTGGTGAAAAAGGACTCACAATGTTATATGAAAAAACTATATATAAAAGGAACAGTTCATTGTGCTAATAGATTTTTTATCGAAATAGTTTCTGCTCACCTTAAAACGCACACAAGATAGTCCCTAATTTTGTTTTAAAGGGCTGGTCTCACTTTAGTTTTAAGTGTTGTATTTATTTTTAAATTTTGGTGCTGTAACAGTATACTTTGTCCTAAAAAATTGTTTTCATTTGGAACTTTCACATTCAGTCTAATTGTTATAGAGGTGAAGAATTAACATATACCAATGGTTTATGAATTTTTATGATTTTGGATTACAATTATTCTTGCTGAATTATCTGCAACCCTGGGGATTATACAAGGTCAAATTTAGTAACATTTAATTATAATTTCTTTCTGACACTTACAAAAATTCGAGGAAAAGTACAATTTTAATTTAGACATCAATAACATTTGACTTTTCAAGTTTTGAATATGATACATGTGCCCTCAAGGTCTGAATATGATACATGTGCCTTCAAGGTCCGAATATGATACATGTGCCTTCAAGGTCTGAATATGATACATGTGCCTTCAAGGTCTGAATATGATACATGTGCCTTCAAGGTCTGAATATGATACATGTGCCTTCAAGGTCTGAATATGATACACATGCCTTCAAGGTCTGAATATGATACGCGTGCCTTCAAGGTCTGAATATGATACACATGCCTTCAAGGTCTGAATATGATACACATGCCTTCAAGGTCTGAATATGATACACATGCATTCAAGGTCTGAATATGATACACGTGCCATCAAGGTCTGAATATAATACACGTGCCTTCAAGGTCTGAATATGATACACCTGCCTTCAAGGTCTGAATATGATACACTTGCTTCAAGGTCTGAATATGATACACATGCCTTCAAGGTTTGAATATGATACATGTGCCTTCAAGGTTTGAATATGATACATGTGCCTTCAAGGTTTGAATGTGATGCATGTGTGATTTCTTACAGTTGCAAATTTTGTTGCAGGAGAAAGAAAGCTGATAAAAATTCTGATCCATTTACAGAAATGTATGTGAATGGTTGATTATTATACTTAACATTTTAAAAGTAACATTGTAATGAAATCATGACTGATTTATAGGGAGACATATGGATTAAAGTCTCAGTATAGATTTCAAATAGAAATAAATTGCATATATATTTACACTTTGTTATGTGTAATACATGTATGCAAAAAATCAATAGTACTTTATATTTTCCTGGCATTATCATTTACCTCTATAAATAGATGTAATGTAAAGTAAGGTCAAGGGTAATATTTTTGTTCATTGTGATATATGGTAACAAAAATCTTATATGCTTATAGTTTACAATTATTTACCATAATTGTTCACCAAGTTTCCATTTGTAAATTAGCTCAAATATTTTTCAGGACTACAACAATACAAGTTGTATGTGGGGATGGAAATACATTGGAATTTGTCAAAGATAGTAGCCCAAAGCCACCAAAGCCACAACCAGAAGGGATATATGTAAGTGTTTAACAGATTGATTTCAATTTGTTTAAACTCCACAAACAAAGTCTGTCTATCTAACTTTTGAGTCCTTTGTCCTGTTAAAAACAAACTTTGTACATTGAGTATTTCTAGAATAATGTTAACTCAGAAATTTTTGATATTACTCAGTATGTTATGTTTGTTGAGCCATCCTGTGGAAGACCCTAATATGAATATGTGCATATTGTAGGTTTCTTGTCATTAAACAAATCCCAATAGTTATGCCCATTTGAACAAAAACAAAAATATACTTTTCATTATGCCCTTTGTGGATGAAACTCTTCCCATTCATCAGATTCTTATGAAGCTTTGTACATTGAATGATCCAAACATGAATACTGTAAATTCAAAAATTATTGCGAGGTTTTTATTAATGCGAATAATGCGACTGAGTGAATATCACAATAATAAGAACTCGTATTCTGATATCTGATACATACATATATCTGTGAGGCTCCTAATGGGGGTGTCAAAGTAATCACATAATCACAATTTTTTGCCAATATAATCACACAATCTTTAATTATTTTTTTAAACAAGATAATCAAACAAGTGAAACTGTGAGCTACTGCTCACTGATGATACCCCAACCGCCCAATGTAAGTGTTCGGTAAACAGGAAGTTGTTGAGTGATGAATCTGAAAACGCATCACATGGTATAGCTGACTTATATAAACCCTGAAACCAAATTTCAGAAATCCTTGTAATGTAGTTCCTGAGAAAAATGTGACAAAAATTTTCAACTTGGATGTCATGTGTAAAATGATGTAAGTGTACGGTAAATAGGAAGTTGTTGAGTGATGAATCTGAAAACGCATCACACGGTATATATAGCTGACTTATATAAACCCTGAACCCAAATTTCAGAAATCCTTGTAATGTAGTTTCTGAGGAAGATGCCACGAAAAATATTCCTGTTACGGACGGACAGACTGACGGACAGACAGAGGTAGAACAGTATACCCCCACTTTTTTAAAGCGGGGGTATAATTAAACAGTATACCCCTACTTTTTTATAGCGGGGGGTATAAAAATCAAAAATACAGTCCTAGATTATTAAATAATTAAATATTCATGAAATATTTGGTCTGATAATCAAATAATCACTATAAAAACGGCCAAGTAATCACATAATCAAAAACCCCATAAGGAGGCTCATCTGTATGAAGATTTTCCTGAAATCGCAATAATTAATCTCGCATTTTTGTCCATTTTTTAAAATTCGCAATAAATGCACGCAATAATTTCTGAATTTACAGTATGTGAATATAAGCAGGAGATCCTGGTCCATTGTTGCATGATGAATAGTTGATACTGAAAATGCACATTTCATCTTGACCATGCTGTATATAGTCCTTTTGTCCTTTACCACCCCAGTGTTAGCTTTCAAATGCAAATTTTTTACATGGATCAATAGAACATGTCTGACAAATTCTGACCAATTAATATAGTAAAACAGCTAATAATAATTCAAAGCGAATGTACTACTTTAACAGAATAATGGTAAAATATTCAAATGCTGTCATTTTGTTGGATTGTACATGTAAGTGAATCAAAGGAAACAAATGGCAGACACATCAGCTGTTAGATCATCTAAATTAATGCTTCCATTTTATGACTTTAACCAACACAGTTCATGTAACAATATGTTTCAGGTTCTTAAACTAACTACACAGCATGCCTGTGTCAAGGGAGGAAGTGGAGGATTATCAACTGGTTCTGTTATACTACTGATGTAAGTATCTATAAACTAATGATGTATTTATCGAATTATAATTTTCCTTTTTAGAAGCAGATTTCTGTATTCCCTTTTGTTTATTTCTGTAGCACAAGAGAATAAGTTGTGTAATTATAGATTATCGAATGTTATCTCAACGAGATTGATTTTCTCTCTTGAGCAGGTACGGCGAAAGTGAGAAAACAATCGAGTTGAGATGACCAATGATAATCTGTTTATCGCTATTTGACCTATGAAGACGTTGTTAATTTCCTTGACAACAGCATAGTTTCTAGCGATAATTTTCATATCACTCGACTCTGCTGAGAAAGGAAATTATCAGTCAGCAAGATAAAAGGAAAAATTCGTAAAATAGCGATAATGGTAAAGACAGGATACAGTGTGGTAATTCACGACACATTACATGAAATTGGATTAAAACAAAAGTAAACAAACAGTGCTGTTCTTCATCTCAAAACCACAGTAATCAACAGTGAAAAAGGGCTCACATCTAACTGCTATTTCTAAACAGCCCAAGCACTGGTTTGATCAGAATTATTTGCCTTGTGGTTATTGTGTTTTTTAAAAACATGATGCATTGCACAAAAGACAACCTATAATTAATTTTTATAAAAAAATCAAAACAGTATTTTACTATTGTTTTTCAGTAACACATACACTACATTATATATTTGATGTTTTCAAAGATTTTACAAAAAAAGGGTGTGTTAAAAGTACATGTATTTAAAGATTGATTTTATATGATGCCACCTCAAATATATAGTAGTTACCACATGTATTTTTTATAAAAAAGAGGTTTTAAATGTAAGTATTGTGGTGAATGGGTAAATCATTTTAAGGTGAATTAAATAAAACATTATTGATAGAAATTGATATTACTGTTAGAGGAGATTGTTTACATCAAACAGGAAATATAGAAAAATTAGAACTGGTTTCTGCTTTATTGACCATTAAAATTTGATTGTTTATTATTGAGCTCTCTTTCTGATATATATTCTGTACATGTTTTTTTTTTTCAGATTTTTTATACTATTGATAATTTATCTAGTAGGAGGTATACTATTTATGAAATTTATGAGAGGTGCCAGTGGAATAGAAATGGTACCTAACTTAGAACTTTGGAAGGGATTACCTTCATTGATAAAGGTAAGAAGACAACATTTTTTTAGCACTGCATTAATATTCAGAAGAATTTATTTGGATCATAAAATCTATAATTATATCTCTGTGAATTACATAATAAATGACCTGGTGTTATGTATAGAATAGCCTATATTGCTTTTGTAAATATGAAACAGATATCTGTTCATTCTTTGATTGGATATAAGACTGTTTCATTATGACACCATTAAAGTAGACAAAAAATCCCTACAGCCTTTCATAGAATCTACATTGTAAAACATAAGTCAACAAGCTATGTCTGTTTGATAAGTTTTTATTTGCCTTAAGGGCATACGATACAGTAGAGATCCCTCGTTGATTTTTTCTCGAAATTTTGGTAGAAGGTCAATTTCGATGTGTACTTTTGAAATATGCAAAGAAAAATATACCTTCATGACTTACTTTTTCAGATAATTTGGTTCGAAATTTGCATATTTGAAGGGAAAACCCTGAAAGCTCATTAATAAGGACTTTTAAGGAAAGTTACAATACTTTTGAACAAACAGTCATAACTTTACCGGGTTTTTTGTAAAATGTTCCCTTGATCCATGGCATCACCATGCTGTAACAAGTTTAAGGTTAAACCAAATTGTTTCTGAATTTATATTACTATTAGTGAAATAAAGAAATTGACAATATTTTTGCGTCTATTCAGAAGTGCACAAAAAATTCGATCGTTGATTTTTTCTTCAAATTTTGGCTGAGCGTTCTTTAAACATTACTTGGTTGATTGCAAAAGAAAAAGCTGGGGGTCCATGTGCTTGTTTTTTCCAATAAAAGCAATAAACCTTGATTTTTAATGGCAAACGAGACGTTTGCCAATAAGGCGCTAAACCACGTTGAAATAAGTTTTAATCGCAACAACGTTGTGAAATCATTCCCGCCGTTCACGATTACGCTGTCAAGTTATTAATCATCAAAATTTTCAAAGCTGGTTACTCGTAAAATAGCACAAAATATTTGCCAAACCTTTATGAATTGTTACGAAACTTGGATACAAAAAGTATTCTAGTAAATTACTTTAGAAAAGAAATGTTCGGAAACAAAAAAGATAAATCTAATAAAAAAAATTAATTTGCATCTCTGTCCGACATTAGTCCTACAATTCATGTAGACAACACAGCTTGAGCATAATTTTAATTATTCAAAAGGCCCCGACGTGACAAAATATGAAACAATTATAAAGTAAGTGGGATAATATAAAAACAAGGACAGTTGGTATGATTGTCAATGAGACAACTATCAACCATATAGTTCAAATTACGAAGATAAACACAATTAAGGGTCACCGTACGACCTTCAATAAAAACAAAAGCCACACCGTATAGTCAGCTTTAAAAAGCCCCTACATGAAAATGTGAACAATTCAAACAAGAAAACTAACAGCCTACTCTATAGGCATTATATGAACGCAAAACCATATCCACATTAACTCGGGTCAGCTTAGAACTACTCTGAACATGTTTAAAAAGTGAATATTTAGAGCTGTTTCGAGCAAATTCATGTCGTAATTGTCTCAATATAGTCCATTATGGTGTAGTTAAACATTTCATAGGAAGTACAGCAGTCGGTATTAGAGCATGATTCTGTATCAATAGATAAGTTACCTAAGCTTGTCTCCAGGTTTTTTTTTATTACGGTACATATAATTATTGACTTACTTGTCTGTACATGTATTATACCTCCAATCTAGGAGTGGGTGCAACCTTATTGTTTGTCCGTCCGTCCGGTGGTCCAACAAATATTTTGTTTCTTATCTGGGAAACTACCTTACAGAAAGACTTCATATTTGGTCAGCAGCTTAACAGCAATGAGTTGCAACGTTTGAACACTTTTCTGGTCTGTCAGATACCTCATACTTCGATTTTCTCTCTCTCATAATATGTTCATAGGGATATGCTTAGCACATCAACGGGTGCGTTTTTGTTTTTGGTCTATCATACTGGGCTTATAACCATGTCTTTTTAACTGACAGTTCTTCTTCATACACATATATATTCCACTGGGTTAAACTCTAAAAATGTCGTTAAACTTATTTAAAATGTACTTATTCAAAGTCAGAACAGTATAGGCGTTTGTCTTTATTTATCATGTTATTTTGTCATTTTGTTGATAGTCTCTATTAAATTTATCTGTACAATTCTCCATACGATTTAGAGTTTGCCAAATGGTGTAGATATTATATATTGTTCAAGACTGTACGTTGATATCTAAATTACTTATTGGTCTTCTTGTGCAGTTGGGTTTCTGTCTCATCGACGTATTATTATTTACATATCTTTTATTCATTTCCTATATGAAATAAAACACATACAAAATTATGAATGTGGATTTGATTTTTTTCACATTTCAAGTTAATACTGTTAACTTCATTATTAATGAATAAATATAACAGTTCTCGTGATATGGCCGATTTTCTTAGCAGGTACTTTTTTTCAAATTCGCGCAACCGGATTTATGACGTCAGTGGATTTTCCGCAAATGTGACTACATTTAAAGCGACGTCGCGAAATGCAATCGTTCTTATAAGAAACATCGCGAAATTACAGGGTTCTGATTAACAACATCGCGAAAACAACACTAAAAGTTTTGAAACATTATTATCTGCCCCTGCTACTGTATTGTATGCCCATAAACTGCTTCACTTGAACTATGATGGATAGTTGTCTCCTTTGCAATTATACAACACATCCTTATTTTATATTATTCATTTATTCTTCACAAGAAGCTTGGACTTGTTGAAGACAATGTAACAAGCAACTGATGGAAATAAAGAAATTTTAAAAAGAAAAAAAAAAACTTTTTTAAAAATTGTCAATTTTCTGGAAATCTTGTGTCCTGGTAGGTATTTCTTCTACATGAAGAAATCTTGAAGGAAATCATGATATAATATGTACCAGATGTTTACAATAATACCGCCTTTTTAGGGTCTTCAAATGGTACCGATAATTACATTTTGGAAGTCTACACATTACCATTTAGCTGAAATTGATAAATTTTCAGTGACGTTGCACACTTCAAGGTTTTTTTGGGTCAAGATTGCATTCATGCAATCAAAACCCTTATGGGACTGGCTTGATATTTTCTAGACCTTATCACGCCTTATCACTACTTTTGAGAGCAGAAAGACATAGCATATTGAACACAACATTCTATAGTCCTATTCATGTACATTTCAAGAAACTAATCAATGAAATATATACTCAGGTATTTAAGTTACACAATGATGTGTATGCATATCACCATACTTGTCAACCAATTTGCATAAAACTTTGGTGAATTGTTCATATCTATTGATGTGAGCTCCCTTTCGTTTTTTATAAAATTTAGATTTTACGTTTCTGAGTTTATTCATTAAAAAAAGGGGGATTTTCCAGTTTTCTGACAATAACTCAAAAATGCTTTCAGCAGTTCTCATGAAACTTTGGAGAATTGTTTATATCTATTGATGTAAGCTCCCTTTCAATTTTTAACAAATTTCTGATATGACATTGAGAAGTTATTGAACTTTATTCGTAAAAAATGTGACGGGCATATCATGCGCTCATGGCGCAGCTGTTTATTAAGATTGGAGTTATCTTCCTTTGTCCATAATTGTAGTTGAAAATGCCAAAAATTATGGACAAAGGATGATATATTTCCAATTCATAGGCTTCCAATGCTTAATACAATGGTGTATTTTATTTTAATTCTTACTGCAAAATGAATGCAATGTTTGCCCTGAAGTGCTCACAAACACTTTGATTATCATACTCTTTTAAACATTTTATATTGTATTCATGTTAATGCAGGAAAGTTATATGTGACTTATCCACCAAATTGAATTGAAGTAAATTATCTGGATTTGACCAAAGGCTTATAATTTTATTTACAGGATGGATTTGTGTTTGTAAGCAAAGGATGTAAGGCAAATACAACATACTCACAAATCTGATGGTGGATAGCAGCTGTACTATGGTTCAGTTTATCATAAGATCTGATGGTGGATAGCAGCTGTACTAAGGTTCAATTAATCAAAAGATCTGGTGGTGGATGAATGGATACCATTAACATGTAGATCTGATACATATCAGCTGACATTTAGATCTCTGACAGTTAGTCAAAGACTTCTTATCTGTTTGGTCTGTTTATTTAAAAATGATTTCTTTAGATTTTACTCAAGCTTTCCTTTAGATTTAATTTGAATTATTCATTTAGATTTAACTTTGTTGCAGTCACCTTACTTTCTTAAAAATCTTCCTTCAGAATAATTTTAACTGAAGTGAGGAAGATAATTTTGAATTAATTCGAAATGTGAAGAAAAAAATGTTCTCTCTATTTTGTTATACTCAGGGTTTTTTTTTATTGCTGATAAATACAAATGAATTTATAATGTGAGTTTTGGGGAAAAAAATAGATAGCTTGATATGTCTAAATATAAATGATACATTCCAGTGTTTATAAAGGTTCTTGTATAAATGTGTTTGGAAATGAATTTGAAGTGAATGAGAGTAGGTCATATTGTAGAGGTGTATATATGTCTATTAAGTGAATACTACTTTATTGGATAATTAGATATATGAGATATAAGACTAGATCGTTTAGCTGTAATTATTGTTCAGAGATGTGGTAAATTATTACAAATTTTCATATGATTAGTTGAGTAATCAGATAGAGAAAAATATATAATTATAGGAGTTATATTTTAGATGCCCTTTAAAGCCAGCGTGAGCTGGAACAGTATACAATTGTAGGACTTGTGTTATATTTTAGATGCCCTTTAAAGCCAGCGTGAGCTGTTGCCATCATGTTGTGTTTACATATTTTAGATGCCCTTTAAAGCCAGTATGAGCTGTTGTCATCATATTGTGTTTACTAATACTATTATTTTTCATCTATTAACTTTCAGTAACATTTTCGTCTACTCTTCTTATTAACTCTTTGGACAAATTGTTCCAACATGGCAACAATAATACATTGAAGTCCATACATAAAAGTTACTTATTTTGTTCTGATCATGGCTTCCTGGTAAAGTTTTTGATGTAATAAATCAATTATTTTACATCTACTCCACTGAAACAACACTGCCATATTGTAATATTTACTTGAAAAAAACTCTTTAATTTCCTTCATAATTATGTGTCATAGATGGCAATAATTATGTGTCATAGATGGCAGTAATTATTTCATACAGATTCAGAATGAATCTCGTATTCATCCTCTTCTCTGAAATTACTTGACTTATGTTGGAACCAAATTTGATAGGAATATTGGAAGGAAGTTCCTTCATTACATTTCAGAGTTCTGATTTTGTGAAAAATATTATCATTAGAGGCAATTAGCAAATTTTCAAGTTGCCTCTTCTCTGAAGCTACAAGGTCAAATCTAGGAATTAAGAAAAACCTTAAGCAAAGACTTAAAATAAATATAATCCATGTATGCATGATATTTATTGATTGCATGTGTGAATAGTATGATATATGTATATTTTGTTTTACTACAGAAGTCTGTATATTTTAAGTTATAGTTTATGTGCCTGTGTCATTGTTGAAGGAAAGACTTAAAAGGTATTACTTTTCAGGCCATAGCAATAATGCTTAGATTGCAAATATGTTGAAGTCTTATTTTGGCTTTCAGTTCTATTACCCATTTTTAGCTCATATGGTTCATAAGGATAATGTGAACCATTGTCATATCTTTGCATTTGTCCAATGTTGTTCCTCTTTGAAAATAAAAAAAAATCTTCTCCACTGAAACAACTAGGCCAATTGACTAACATCTCCCCTTAATAATATGTTTTCTTGCATATTCAGAAGATTTCTGACAGAAGTGTGAAAGATTTTTTAAGACAAAACCCTTTTTAGCTCTACTGGCCCATTAATTTGCATCTGTCGTGGTAGTCCACAGCCTATTTTCAAAGATCTCCTCTGACACAACTGAACCCATTTCAACTAACTTTGTGAAGAATGATACTTTATATATTAAGGTCAACAACCATCACATATGGTATAAGTAAAACACACTTAACAGTGGATTGATTAATGCTATTTCAATCAGCCTTCCAAAATTCTTTAGTACGGGAAAACTAGATTTATTCCAATTCTACTCCCGGTGACTCATGTTTAGCAGAATACACTTACACTGCTGTTGAGCAGATAAACCTTCTTTTTTGTCTTCATTCGCATTTCAAAATCAAACATGTATTGTTGTGACAAAATAATTGAAATAAAATGATTTCTAAATAAATTGTATTGCACAATTTTATTTTATCTTGTAAATAACGTGATTCATTTCTAAATGCATATTGGTATGACATAAAGTGATGTTAAAATTATTAGAATTATACTAAAAACAAGAATGTGTCCATAGTACACGGATGCCCCACTCGCACTATCATTTTCTATGTTCAGTGGACTGTGAAATTGGTGTAAAAACTCTAATTTGGCATTAAATTAGAAAGATCATATCATAGGGAACATGTGTACTAAGTTTCAAGTTGATTGGACTTCAACTTCATCAAAAACTACCTTGACCAAAAAGTTGAACCTGAAGCGGGACAGACGGACGAACGGACAACGGACGGACGAACGAATGGACGCACAGACCGAAACTATAATGCCCATCTACTATATATCGTAGGTGGGGCATACAAATTAACATATTTTCATCCCGCATCCCTCTGTTTAGGGTGAATGCTTCCAGTTTCTCTAATAGTTCTCCAAGATCCACAGTCTTTGATCTAGGGAAATTTCTACCATGAGCTTTGAAATTAATCTAAAATATAATGCATGTAATAAAAATTTATGTACCATATAATAGTTAAAACTTTGCATAACAGCTTTTGCAGGTGTATATGAATAATGGCTGTGACTATTATTTTTTTTTTATTGTCAGTTTTCCTATCGAAGGTCGGTGGTTTTCTCTGGGCACTATGGCTTCCTCCACCAATAAAAACTGGCCGCCACGAAATAGCCCAAAAGTGGTGCTTAAAAGTGGCGTTAAAACACCAAAAATCAAATCAATCTGTCTTGTTTTCTATCTTCTTTATCATGGTTATACGTCAATCTTTTTCAAAAGTAGTGTTTTGTCATTTGACAATGCATGAAAATAGGATATATTATAATAAAGATTATGAATTACTTAATATTGTTAAACGTTATCTAGGATATCTTTGTTAACATATATCTTTGATAGCTTTTTACATCAGACTGAAGAACGTCCTTTGATTACATTTTGCCGTATTCTCATGTTTAAATACTTTTTGTTTCACTTGGAGACATTTAAAGATGTCAAATATGCAATACCATTTTATTTTATTTTTACACATATATAATGTGTATATCTGAGCTGCATGTGCATTTGTCATTGTATTTTGATAACTATTTCTATATCAACATGCATTAGAGTATACATTGTACTTTCATGTGATAAGTCAAATAATGATTGTTTATATGAATGATTTCGTGTTTATTTTTTTGTTTAATTTATATATCAATCTGTGTTTTAATATCAAGGAGCACAAAAAATCAATCAAAAAGAGAATTCTGTTTCATTAATTCTCCTTTAAACATTAGTTATACACGGCTATAATTACACAAATATAATAGCTTAATTGATTTATAAACATACCTCACCTTCTTTATGTTCTTTTCTGTGTGTATAAAGTTCTGTGTGTTGATAAGACGATTTTGAATTTTATGACCTAGTTCCTCTCACAGGCGCTCCCACTGATATCAAATTCAACGTAATACAAAACAGAGTGCGGTTGAGTGATATAATTGTCAATTATAGCATGTGTTAAGTGTATGAATAAAAGGAGAGTTGTTTATATAAAGATAGAATATGTGCAACACATAATAATGTGCATCAGATTTAAATAAATATCAGAGATAATTTATGATATATTAATGAATTTCGGATAAACATGCACTGACCACAATTGTTTTAGACGCAAGAGACGCAAAACATTGTTTCATAACACACCAATATTAAATCTATCAATAAAAACTATGTTCAATTATAATAATCAAAATTTGTCACAAACGACCAGATGGTGTGTAAATTTTACAACAGAATTACGATACACAATATTAGAAAACGTATTACTAAGGTCAGTTTTAAAAGTATTACTTGCATACGTTAAAATGATGTTTTAATTACGAAATAATTTACGTAAAAAGAATACCATCAGAACAACGTCATTATAACGTATTTGTAAAATTCAATTACGTAAATGTAACTTTTATTATACGTTTGAAATACGTAAAGTTCGACATTATATAAACGTCATTACAACGTATTCTCAAAAGCCCATTACGTAAATATTACGTAAAAATATGTTATGTTTTACGTTACCAAACCTCAACGACGTCAAACTAAGGTAAAGTCAGCAGTTACTTATACATATGACCAAATTATTATGTCATGCTTACATTATGTGTTTCCTGGGCATGTTGTAATGTGGTGCTATGTATACAATTTGTTTGCTAAATCTTCTATATTTTTTTGTTTGTTTTGGTGTTGATAATTTATTTTTATATATGTATGTTGACAAATTAACTACTGTACATAAACTGAACTCTGAACTAAAAGTTATCTTTATTTTATTTATAAAAAGGAAATGAATAATCACTTTTGTTCTTTAGTGCCACTGGAATTAATTGCCATACTGAGGAATATGAGGAGGAAGGTTATTTATATGACTGTCTATAATACATTGTAGGTAAATTAGAGCTTTACCGGTTGAAGCTCCCAGGCTCATTTTCTTTCCCCTTGATTTGTATCTTACCAAATGATTTATGTCATTTGAACATCGGTAAACTACTGTTACCTCTAATGCAATGTCTTCATTGACCCTTTTCTCATCATCAAAGGTCAAGGTTACTTAAAGGTATACTCACTGCTGGAAAAGCAGATGTTGGTATTATGCGAGTTCATCTGTGAATGTTCCTCTTTATAGTCCTGTTATTAATGTTTTACATGATGATTATGATATTCTCCAATGTTCTTGATGATTATGATATTCTCCAATGTTTTACATGATATTATGATATTCTCCAATGTTCTTGATGATTATGATATTCTCCAATGTTTCTGATGATTATGATATTCTCCAGTGTTCTTGATGATTATGATATTCTCCAATGTTTTTGATGATTATGATATTCTCCAATGTTCTTGATGATTATGATATTCTCCAATGTTTTACATGATGATTATGATATTCTCCAATGTTCTTGATGATTATGATATTCTCCAATGTTCTTGATGATTATGATATTCTCCAGTGTTCTTGATGATTATGATATTCTCCAGTGTTCTTGATGATTATGATATTCTTCAGTGTTTTTGATGATTATGATATTCTCCAATGTTCTTGATGATTATGATATTCTCAATGATTTTTTATAAAATCCAAAAGCTATTTATAGCCTAGAGGGGGTGGACAGGGGGGGCACCCTTCTCCCACCTCCCGCCCCCCTATCTCCTACCTCCCACTTTTAGAATCTTTTTTTCTCTCCCACCTATTTTTTGTCTCCCACCTCCCGCAGCCCTTCCTCCCACCTCCCTCAAAAGCTGTCCACCCCCTCAGCCTAGTGAAAAAATACTAAATTACAAACTGCAGATGTTAATTGTCAGTCCTTTTGTTGATGACATGTTTTCCAAATTTCTTTCATCAAATTTGTTATTACTTAGTTATATTTTCATAACAAATTTAAATCTGAACAACTGTGAATTAAGAATTACAGAAGGACAGACATGGATAACAATATAAGCCAGTGGCAGTGGCATACACAATAAAGAGATGTGGCATGATTGTCAATGAGACAACTATCCAGCATAGAACAAATAACAAGGATGTTAAATACTACAACAATTTTCACCTTACCCTGATCTTGTTTTTATGATAAGGTCAGTTTCTGATACACTTAAAGTAATACCTGACCTTGGCAACATTTGCATTGTTTACTGATCATAATAAGTTAAGTGATTAGCTCAGTTTCTCAAGTACTATAGGTCAACTCTTTTTAGTCTATATAACCACTGTTATATGTAGCAACCAAAGGTTTACCACATTGGCTCAGGAATCTAATTTTAGAAAATAATGTGCTCTATGCTCAATGAAAACCCTGGGTATGGATCACATTATGTTCTAGAACAAAATTCTTGAGCCTCTCTGTGTTTATGGGCCTTAACCTCATGTTCAAGATGTGCTGAGTTTGTGTGGTCAATAGAATCATTGTAAAGTATACATGTCCATCTGGATGGGTTTACCTGACTTAAACCTCATTAAACCCCACACTTCCAAGTAGTATGGGTGTATAGTTTTTACCTATCTGTCATTCAGTCGGTCCGTCAGTCAATCTGTGTCATTCATTACTGGATACTAACTCAATTACTTTATATAAAATTGCAGCCTTACTTGGTTATATGGTCATATATAAAGAAAGGAAGATTCCTATTTAGGTTGAAGTCTCTAGGTCTGATGTCAAGACCATAGTTTAACACGAAAAAGATACAGGTATTTGAGCAGAAAGCTGGTTTCTAGGTGCTAAATCAAATATCTTATATCCTATTGCAACCTTAATTTTTAATATGGTCACATTTATTGAAAGAAAGATCCCTACTGATATTGAGGTTATTATGTCTAATGTCAAGGTCAAAATTAAGAAAAATATACCCCATTTTGTGCAGAAAAGTGGTTTTTGGATTCTAAATTAAATTAAATTGGATTTCAACCTTACTGGGATTTAGTCATATATACATTGTACTGAGGGGAGGATGCCTATTGATTTTGAGGTCACTACAGTTAATGTCAAGGTCAAACTTACTAAATAGACCAAATTTGTAGAAGAAAAGTGATTTACTAATGTAAAATCAAATATGTTTTTTTTTTTTATCATTTTACATCCTTACCTGAATATATATTTCACATAATAAGAAGATGACCCCTATTGATATTGAGGTCACTACATTTAAAGTAGAGGTCAAGATCATAGTTACTAGAGAGTGGTTCCTAAATGCCAAATCAAATACTATAATTAATACCAATCCCTAAGGGTAAGGTAATGGTTGCATTAACGTAAAATAGAACAAAATTTGTGTAGAAAAAATGGTTTGGATGCTAAATCAAATATTTTCTATTGGATTGCAACCTTAATACCGGTCACTTAAGATAAGATTTTCAGATCGCCACTACATCTTATGTCAAGGTCATATATAGTTACTATAAAATGTATTTGTTTTAGAGAATTTTTTACTTTCTCAAATCGTAATATAAAGAATCGTACCTGCTTGAAAAGTGCATAGAAAGGAAAGTATATATGAGTTTACTGGAACACTTTCTTTAATTGTTATGGTTCATAGAACAATGTTAGGTGGTTATTTTAAGACATCGAATAAATCGGTATACCGTGAGTACTTTACAACACGAAAATAAAAAAATACGTAGAGGGAAATATATTGACAATATATTGACAATGACTAAAAAACCTGATGAAAAGTCAATGTCGAGTGTCAAATATCTGGCCTCTACACAAAACTTCCCAAATGACAAAAAGTGTCCGGATATACCAAAACGACAACCTCTAGAGGATCCTGACTTCCTGGACATATTAACAAGTGGCATGGTAACACTATTTTTTGTCGAGCCTGCGACTTTTGTCGCAGAAAGCTCGACATAGGGATAGTGATCCGGTGGCGGCGGTGGCGTTAGCTAACTTCTTAAAAGCTTTATATTTTGGAAGCTAGAAGACCTGGATGCTTCATACTTTGTATATAGATGCCTTATGTTACGAAGTTTCCGTCTGTCATATGTCCATTGTCCTTGACCTCATTTTCATGGTTCAGTGACTACTTGAAAAAAAATCAACATTTTTTGTATTGTTAATTTCTTTCTTATTATGAGTAATAGGATAACTATATTTAGTATGTGCGTACCTTGCAGGGTCCTCATGCCCGTCAGACAATTTTCATTTGACCTCGACCTCATTTAATGGATCAGTAAACAAGGTTAAGTTTTCGTGGTCAAGTCCATATATCAGATACTATAAGCAGTAGGTCTACTATATTTGGTATATGGAATGATTGTAAGGTGTACATGTCCAACTGGTAGGTGTCATCTGACCTTGACCTCATTTAATGGTTCAGTGGTCAAAGTTAAGTTTTTGAGTTTTGGTCTCTTTTTTTAATACTATATGCAATAGGTCAACTATAAATGGTGTATGGAAATATTTTATGATGTACATGTCAGTCTCACAGGTTTTATTTGACCTTGACCTCATTTTCACAGTTCATTTCTCAGTGTTACGTTTTTGTGTTTTGGTCTGTTTTTCTTCAACTATAAGCAATAGATCAACTATATTTGATGTATGGAAGGATTGTAAGGTGTATATGTCTGTCTGGCAGGTATCATCTGACCTTGACCTCATTTTCATGGTTCATTGGTCAATGTTAAGTTTTCATGGTTAAGTTTGTTTCTTAGATACTATAAGCAATAGGTCAACTATATTTAATGCCTAAATTGATTGTAAGGTGTACATGTCTGTCTGGCATGGTTCATCTGACCTTGACCTCATTTTCATGGTTCACTGGTCAATGTTAAGTTTTCTTGTTTAAGACTGTTTCTTAGAAACAATAAGCAATAGGTCAACTATGTTTGGTTTATTGAATGATTGTAAGGTGTACATGTATTTCTCGTTTGGTTTATCTGACCTTGACCTCATTTTCTTGGATCATGTTAAGTTTATGTGTTACTTGTAGTAAAGCTTTGTATTTAGGACTATCAACAGAAAATCAATGGTATAGTAAAGAAGGCGAGACATTTCAGCGTGTGCACTCTTGTTTAATTCTAATCCCCATCTTTTTAAACTTGATATTGTGATAATAAAAAGTACGTATTTATTTTTTTAAACTCTCAAAAACCTGTTGTGTTTGTACCTGCTGACAAAGCAGCCATCAATTAACATTGTCGTTTATTGAAATATCAGTATACTGAAATACTAAAGTTTGAGATCACAAAGTCGTGTACATTCATGTCTATAACTTCAACCAGAGACGTATCAGCTTCATGCAACTGATGATAACGTGGTGGAACACGGTTCAACAATGATTGAACAGAAAACTGTTCCTGACCATCAATATGGCACCCTCACGGAATAAACTGTAAGGTGTTTTTTTTTTCGTATAATAGGAGTGTCATATGGAACTATTATACTAAAACTCACTAAATTCACGGGAACGTTTGATAAAAATTTCTACCTTTTTCCAGTAAATGTTTCTGTACATCAGACTTGTGGTATTACAACCATAATAATGAACTAATTTGGAGTTGGCTTTAAACTAGAATACAGCGAGAACTCTCAGATCGGTAATTTGCGAGTTTGTCCTTTTGTTGTGATTGCTTGTACGCCACAGTGCCGATCTGACAAGTCAAGCTTTTTCCAAATGATTTTTATAGCCGTTTTGTTCTTATGGTGTGCTGTTACACCACTGTCCTAGGTTCAAGTGCCTAGGTTAGGGGAGTGTTAAGCGATCACAATCATATTTGGACATATTTAACCTCATCACATTCTTTATTTGTCTGTCCCAAATCAGAAGCCTTTAGTTCAGTGGTTGTCTTTAGTTGA